CCTTGCTCTCAGGTGGCTCAGAATTTACGTAGAAGGACAGAACACTGTTCAGAGCCAGCCTAAGGACGCTTGCAAAAGCATCATCTAAGTGAGTACCAGACTGCGAGTTAACTGGGTACAGATGAGAATAAGGAGCAGAAGTAACTTTGTCTGAGGGAAGACCAGGCATCCCTCACAACCTGAACTTAGAAAAGAGATAGGTTTGGGAATCAAGCCCCTGAGCTTTGATTTTTGCCAGAATCCATGGGAGGGGGAGGCAGTGAGGTTGAGGGCATCGCCCGAGGCCACTCAGCTCTGGTGGCAAAGCTGAGAGTGGAACTCTTGTGCTCTGCTCTGCACCAGCTTTGATTCGTCAGAGAGGCTGTTACCATCATGAGGATGCTGCATGGGGGTGGTGGGATTTTGGGGGAACTGCTCCTTCTGCTTGGACTCTCATCTTCCCTGGGCGCTAGGAAGGAGCTCGGTTTTGGGGGCCTGGTTTGACACACTTCGTCTCCAGGCACCTTGTAGAACCAAATTTCTGTTCTCACTCCTTCCAGGCCCCGGGACTGTGGACAGCCAAGGGCAGATCGAATTTCTCAGGTGCTACGCTACCCTGAAGACCAAGTCCCAGACCAAATTCTACCTGGAGTTCCACTCAAGCTGCTTGGAGAGTACGTACAGGCCGAACTGCCTTTTGTGGGGGCGAGGGGCATAGTACCCTGTCCTTCCCGCTCTGGCCTCATCTGACTTACTGATGGACCTCAAGGGGGTCAGAAAAGTGGGGCTGCAGGTGGAGGGTTCCAGAGGACACCCAGTTACTGCAGGGGGCCCCCTGCTGACGTGCAAGGCTGCTGCTCCAGTCCCAGGGACAGGTAGTAGCGGATGCACAGACCTTGGCAACTGGATCCTCTCCTTGTCCCTCAGGGTGGAGTTTAGTCCACTTGAGGGCCCCCAAGCCAGCTCTGACTCAACCCGAGAGCCCTGGGCGAGGGTCCGGAGCTTGGGGGGCCAGCGCCGGGGCTGGTGCAGCTGCTGACAATCCCCTCTTCTTGCTCGGGGTCCGTGTCACAGGCATCTTTCTCAGGTGGTCCGAGCATCTGAAAGCAAGCTAGAGCTGGACAGCCTCCTGTCAGCAGCAGCAGTTAGCACAAACTGTGTTTAGAAAACACCCTTTCTGGGTGACACTTCTAGGCATATTGTCTAAAGCTGTTCCACGGTGAGCAGATCTGTGCGGTTTCCAGCTCTCCTTGCCGAGATGGTCTGGACGGGGGGTTCAGGGGGTGGCACATAACCTCACAGAAGGAAGCATTTTGTGACGGGATGACAGATGCTTCCAGGGCTTCTGGGAACAAGGCACGTGCCACCAACTGCAGTGCTGCACACACACATCCCCTTCCCTTCCTCCTCAGACTCAGCCTGGGCTGGCTCCTGGTGACAGCTCTGCCTTCTCCAGGAAGTCTCCAAGTCCCAGTTCACCAAGCAGGGGCAAAGCACTTCCAAAAATGATGAGGACTTTGTGCGGGTGTTTTTAATAAACTATCGACATTTGCATACATTTCTATGGAAACAGCATATTAGGAAGCTAAAATTAGCATTTCAAAAGGCTGCTATCTTGAGTGGCGTGGGACGAGCTGTCATGTTTCCTAATCTCCTTGCCTGTGATGTGATGATTTCTTTGTTGCCTGGTTTGTTGCAAAGAGGAGCCGAGAAGGAGGGAAATCTCTCCTATTCTCCTAAAAATAATTACACTGTGTTGGCAAATGACCATCCCCTGCACTAAAACAGAATCCCCAACAAGCCTGACTCCTAAATGATGCTGCAGCCCCTGCAGATGGTGTCTTCTTTGGTCCTGGGGGAACAACCCTAGGAGTCTTCTCTGTCTGGTTCTGGTTTCCGTTTTCTGAAAACCAGCCTTCCTGTCCTCCAACAGGTTTTGTCAAGAGTCAGGAAGGAGAAAATGAAGAAGGAGCTGAAGGGGAGTTGGTGGTGAAGTTCGGCGAGACTCTTCCAAAGGTAATTCAAGAACAGGGAGAAGTTTGCGTCATCAGCCAGCAGTGCTGACCAGGGGACCCGGCCAGACGGAGTGCGAACCCCATGGACCAAACGTAGAAGAGGCTGCCCTAGACTTCTTCTCTTTCAAGGCAGTTGATGTCACCTTTCTCAGCTGTGGTTAAACACGGGCCTGTGTCTAGTGGCCCCAATATTCCTAAATGGATTTCAGTTCCCCTAATGGGTCATGGAAAGGCTACAGGGCACCTCATCTGACCATGGGGCTTTACAAAGATGGGAACAGAGGGAGATCCCAGAGAGGCCTGTTCGCAGCCACACGGCTGGCCCTGTTCCCTGCAGTGTTCCTTCTTCTCAGCCCTGGCTCAGAGGATCCACTGGAGGAGCAGAGAGGAGTTTGTTTGCTCCGGACACACAAAGTACTTGACGTGTCCATGGCCCCCTGCAAGCAGAGGGTAGAGCTGCAAACATGCAGGCAACCCTTAGAGTAGAGCTGCAAACACATTTGTCTTTACTGCAAAACAACTGGTTTCCATCTGGCACCCAGCACTGCTTTTGTGATGTTAAATTGATGGTGGATGTATCCGATGTTCACACCAGGAACACGTGGTGTAGGACCCCATGTCTTTGTCACTAACAAAGGAGGGGGATATAGAGGGAGTGTCCAGGCCGGGCAGATCTATCGCACAGGGTGGAGGTCTCAGGCCCGCTGGAAGGTTCCCTCAGAGAAGATGCCTGAGGTGAGTCCTGAAGGATAGCGTGAGGCTGGTGTGGGCTACGGGCTGGTGTCCTGGGCCACCCATGACGGCATCAATTGTTGATTGGAACCAACTCTTGGGCCACATACAAGAAGGCAGATGCCCGAATCCTGGAGTCTCCTAATCCAAGTACACTTCTGATTGGGGTCCTCCATGAGACCAGACATAGCTGTCAGAAGTCCCTGTCCTTGGGCTGTTTTCAGGTACCCAAGTCCTGGTGGCTCTGGGCTCCAAGGCAACATCCTACCTCAGCCACCCACCCCACCTTCCTGCCTCCTCTCCTGCCCAGAGAAGCACCCAGAGAGCCAGTTTCTTACTTCCTTGAAGTTGGGAAAGATGCCAGCATCCCAGTCCCCACAGCCTGTGCACCCCTGTCCCCTCGTCCTAACGCTGCCCAATCCGGCTCCTCTTGCCTCTGTGCCCTCCTCTCCACCCCACTCCCACCTCCCAGATGGCCCCATCCCTCCTGTCTTCTCGCTGAGGCATCATGAAGCCTGGCAGATCTTTCTGGAATACCCGTCTGACCCTGGCATCCTTTCCTCTATCCAGTTAGTCCCTCATGTCAGCCCCTCAGTTTGGCTCCCAGGCCCCTCCTCGCTCTCCAGACTCACCTGCTCCCACAGCACCTGGGGGCCCTCACTCCCTCCTGCCCCTTGACCCTCCACACCACCTCTGTCACCTGACAGCCTCTTCTCTTCACCCTCTAAAACCCTGTCAAGGCACCTGCCAGAGGCTCCCTCCCTGCCACCCCCATCCTCACACGCTCTCTGTCCACATATCCGCCTCCAGCTCCCACCGCTGCCTGGAAAGGAGGGTCTCCCTCCTGCACCTGCAGTACCTGGGCCCCAGCTCACCTCAAGCCAGTGGTCACTACGAGTCAGTGAACCCAGTGTTCGATGCGGCAATGGAAACTCAAAACAGTCCAGAGCCCCCACTTCAATTTCTAGCCATTTGTTCTGGAACTTTCTGAAAGGAGATAGAGTCCATCCTGTCAGTCAGCATGGCACCCAGAGGCCTATCGGTATCTGGATGGGAAGGAAGGGCGCAGCCTCTGACCTTTTTATTAGGCCCATCTGTTTTGGGGTCAGCATGAGGAACAGCCTTAAGTTGTAAAAAGTCACAGTGGTGGCCAGCACGTGGGAGCGAGTGCACCACAAAGCCCCTCCCTGCGCTTGCCAAGGTGCCCTGCCCCGGAGACACTGGGGTTCACCCTGCACCCAGAGCCTGTGCCTGAGCCAGACCAGCAGGGGGTCAGAGACAGGCTGGAATTCAGGGTCTGTGCCCACCCTTCAACGCCCTCCAGCAACCCCCGGGACTCTCCAGACCCTCCCTCGAGGGCTCCACAGCAGGTGGTCACAGGCCTTCTCCAGCCCAGATGGAGGGCGGGCCCTGTAGTACCCTCTTCAATGCAGCCTCCATCCTGGGAGCACGCCGAGGAGAGGAGTCCACCCTGCTGGGGGGCCTGGGGTGGGGAGTGGGATGAGTTCAGACCTGGTTCCTGGTCCCACTAGCATTTGTGTATCAGCCTGGCCCCACCGCCTTGATCCTGAGGTGTGCAGAGGAGGGGGAGGGAGGGCAGGGAGGCAGTGGGGGTGAGGCATGTTTGGGGTCAGATCCTCTCCCTGGGGTCCGGGGTGCAGTGTGATGGGGTTGTGGGGGCAGGAAAGGAGGTTAACCCCACCCTGCTGGGTAGGGTGGGTGTGTGGGTTCCTTTCCTGCTCTCTTGGGTAAGAAAAGCAGAGATTCGAATTTATTTAAAAAGAACATCTACGGTCCTTTTTTCCCAAGCATTCCCCTCATCTGGGCTGGCAGCCCTCCCCCACCTGTCCCCCACCTGTCAACTCTAACCCTGCACCCTTCTCTCTGCAGCTGAAGCCCATTATCTCCGATCCCGAGTACCTGCTGGACCAGCACATCCTGATTAGCATTAAGTCCTCCGATAGCGACGAATCCTACGGTAGGGGTCCCGGGGCAGGTGGTGCAGGTATCACACCTGCCGAAAGCGGCGGCCTCTGATGTAAGGGAGGCAGTGACATCTCCTTCCGCAAACACCCACCTACCGCTCTGCTCCCCATCGCAGTGCTGCCAGGGGGGACAGTTACTGGAGAGTCATCGCTCCCACCCCCTCTGGCTCCTGCAGTGAGGGCCAGCGACCACACACCTCCCCTATCTGTTGAGCCTTTTCCATGTCAGGTTTGTGCTGCATGCTTTGAAGTATTATTTCATTTATCCTGACATGACCTTATAAAGCAGATACAATTCTCTCAATTAGATGAGTAAACTGAGGCTCAGAACGGTGAAGTGACTCTCCCAAGTCACACAAGTAGTAACTGGCTGAGTCCTAATTTGAACCCAGGTCCGCCCAGCATTGCTTAATGCCCAGGCCAGGCAGGCTTGTGGAGGAGGCCTGTAGCCCCACCAATCGAGACACCATCTTCTGCAACATCTTCTTTAGCCTATCCTTGGCTCCAGCCCAATGTCAGGTTTGCCCTTGCACTTGGTGCATTCTGCGTGGCTAGAGCGTAGAGTGAGGAGGGCAGGAGGCCAGAGAGAGGCTGGAGGCAGAGCCAGAGCAGCAGCTCCATTCCAGCCAGGCCTTCGGTAAATGCCCTATCCTGGGGCCAGGAGGGAGCCATGGACAAGTCAAGACAGTAACATAATAGGCTTTGCATCTTAGAAACACGTGTTTGCAACAATCAAGATGAGAGAGCCAGAAAGAAAGTGGTGACAGTAAAAAAAATTTTTAAAAGGAGAGACGGGTTAAAATTGAGAGGGACTGAGAAGGGCAATTGTTTGACCAGGGAATTGGTGGAAGAGGGGAGTTGAGGATGGCCCTGCGCTTGTGGTTTGAGTCACTGGGCTAACATTTCCGTTTCCTGAACTGGGTCAGCTGTGGTGAGGAGCAGGCAAAGGAGCTTAAAAAGGCTCAGCCAGAGAAGTGGGAGGAAAGCCAAAGACTGGGGTGGGGACATCGTCAGAGGAGGCTCGAGAAGAGGGCGCAGTTATGATAGCAAATGTGGCCCAGAGATCCAACCAGATAAAGACCAGTGTTCTGCAGACGGAGGGGCTTGGGGACCACCTGTGGACTTGGGAGATGAGGAGGTGAGGGCATGAGGCAGCCCGGGTTGTGCACCTGGGTCCCGGGAGGTTGTCTGTTTCCAGTGGAAGGAATTGAAAGGTGGTTAATGCTGACTGGTGAAGCCGAGAAACAGAAGGAGGCTACAGACATGGAGGATGCCCGTGTGTGTCTGTCACCCACTGTGCAGGCTCTGCTCAGAGCCCTGGGATGTAGGTACCATCACCACCCTTGTTGCAGAGGTGAGGAAATGAAGTGACTTGTCCAGGGTCACACAGCCGTGGAGTGACTTTGACAAGCTGCTGTGTGACCTTGGACTTGAACCCAGTTACCATATTAGGCCCTTCCCCCTCTCCAGAGCAGTCCTGGAAGAGGGTCCCTGAGCCAGGGCTGGGGCGGGCAGAGCTGGAGGAGCGAGATGAGGCGAGGAGAAAGAATCCTTGTGGGTGCCGGAGTGTTGGAAGGTTTGGTGGCAGGAAATGGGAACACAGGTCTGATGGTTCCCTTTTCTCCTCAAGTGCTGTATTCCTCCTGTTTCTTCCACGTGGTATTCGCACAAACAGCATATCATGCTAATGAACGAAAAACAAAATCGCCCAGTGGTCTCGTTCCCCACTAGGGTGATCGTTTGTTATTTTGCTTTCACACCCCCGTGTTCATACATCAACTTTTATTTGAATAACTATCATAAAGGTAGCACGTATATTCTGCTTTCCTTACCTGGTATTAGATAATATACCTTTTTCATGATCCTGCTACACATCTTCATGATGGTTGCTTAAATGTCTTCACAATATTCCATGGACTTACTGCATCCTCACTTTTTAGAGTCCTTCCTGCTACTGCTGAGGCTCTGCAGGCTCTTTTGTTAGTGTTATCAGTGATGCTGAGATGACCTCTTCGCAGACATTTTTTCTTCTTCGTTGGCTCCATTTGTTACTCTCTTTGATCATCTCTTTAGCATAAATCCCCACATTTGCTGGGTAAACTGACCACTGGGAAGGCTCCGTCTTGCCTTGTTGACCTCGCCATGTCCAAGGGGACAGGTGTTTCCCGACCCTTGCTGGCACTGGGTGCTCTTTGCTTCCTTCTACTCTGTGCTAATTTCACGTCTGTAGGAGAGGCCCTTAGTGCTGCCTTAATTTGCATTTTTGGTGGCTCGGAAGACTGAACTAGTTTCCTTTTTTTTTTTAATTAGCCAGCCATACTTCTTTTTGAGGGAAACGTCTGCTGGGTTACCTGCCCATGTATCTGCTGGAGGTTTGATTTTGAAGAGTTCCTCGTGGAGTTCAGATAAAACACTCTCTGTGTGAAGCCGGCTGCTGCCATTAGCCCCAGTCAGCCTCCTTTCCGTTTTTGTTTTTTAATCTGTGCGGGAGTTTAAAACGTTTGTATCCTCTTATCTGTCAGTCATTTTCTCATTTCTCGCACCGTTTCAGACCTTGGGGTTATCATTGCCTCCAGCAATCAGATTAGTATTTCATTCTGTTTTTCTGATGGGTTTTCTGTGATTTAGTTTTTTTCACATTCGCTAATCTGCGTAGAGTTCATTTTGCTGTGAGGTTTGAGATGTTCTTCCCCAAACTGCTGAGGAATTGTTCTGAAAGGTTTGTTTGATAATCTCTGCCTTGGTCATTGCTGTGAAGGATCACCTGTGAGTGAGGGAGCTAAGTCCCCAGGCCAAATGAGTGGTGTTTCTCCCATGAAATGGGGGGAATTCTCGACATGACTGCTGTCCCCCCACCTCCGCAGGCGAGGGCTGCATTGCTTTGCGGCTAGAGGCCACGGAAACTCAGCTCCCCATCTACACGCCTCTCACCCACCACGGAGAGATGATGGGTCACTTCCAGGGGGAGATTAAGCTGCAGACCTCCCAAGGCAAGACGAGGGAGAAGCTCTATGGTAAGTGGGCACGGCCCCTCCCCGCTCCCTCTTCAGCGCTGCTGGGTTGGGGGCAGGAATGAAATATTCGCTCTGCTGTGGCCTTAGAGGGGAATCCAGCATCGGAAGGGATCTCAGAGACAAACTGGCCCAACCCTTAGTAGATTCAGGAATTTCCCTACAGAACCGCACACCCCACAGCCAGAAATCACCCTTCCCTGACCTCAGTCAACTTACATCTTTAAGGATATGATGCTTGCTAATTTTCCAGGTCCTCTGCTCTCACCTTAAGTCTTTTAGGCCTTGTCACTCCCTGTTAGCACCTCCACCAGAAGGACCACATTACACAGTTGACCTGCCTATCACTGACTGGCCCTTTCCAGGCCATGGAGACTGCAGCTGTGGCTGCAGTTGAGATTAGAATTGCCCATGTGGTCCCTGTTCTTCCTCGTGGCCATACGATGGGCATCATATATACACACATACCCTGGCACGTATCTACATCCTGCCCTCGTGGTACCCACCCAGGGTTTCTGTACCTTCTGTGTTGCTTTCACACACCACATACATCTGGAAGACCCATTTCTCATCTTGAGCACTTTTCTTTGGCTTTTCCTACCTTAGTGATATCCAGCCACCCTCTAAAGCAGCAGCATCTCCTGGCCTTCTCTTCCCTGGCAGAGTCCCCTAGCACCTCTTTGAACTTGAACTCAGTCTTTTGGTCCCGCTCAATACCACTCGCTTACTTTGGCTGGCCTTTGGGAGGGTGCGTTTCTTGGGACTCTCAGTAGTGACACCAGTGCAGCCACACTTGGAAACAAATACTCACCACAGGCATTTCCTTGCCCCATGTGAAATGCCAGCCTCGGGGAGTTATCCCCTATCTGTCCCCAAAGGAGACCCTACTGATTTCCACTAGCTAATTTCAGATGCTGCATCTCTTGGATAAGAATTGTCACTGCTCCATTGTGAGAGTATTGAAATGTGGCCAAGAAGTCCTCATAACATAGGGAGAACTCAAGGAAGTCTATAGACAGAAATTTGTAATTTTCTCTGAATCCTGCATCCATTTTTGAAACCTGGAAATTAACCTGTGTCCTTCTCAATAGTCTCCATCATGTGAAAACCTCCCTGCTTGAAAAAATAAAACATTTGAGAGGCACAGCGCTGCTCAAAATTTGTTAATCAAGTTTTTTTTCCTTTTCACACAGGCAACAGGTCATTTTTTTTCCTTTTCCTCTTTGCTTGAATTCTTGCTCAAAAGCACTCAAATAACAATGCCTAAAACGACTTGGGTTTTCATTTTATACATGATGTGGGAAATGGTTGTCTTGTAATATCATCTTGATTATCTCTCACAATAGCTGTGAGAGCTGGACGTTAGCCTTGTTTGGTAGGTGGGCACAGAGAGGTTAAGTAGCTGGCTGGAGGTCACACACTGAGTAAGTAGCTGGCCCAAGGGGAAAGTGCCGGTTCATCCACTGCTAAGCTTCGTATCTTCATAAATGTGACAAGGTGCTGCCTCTCACGTGAACAGTGAGACAGTAAGACTCACTGCAAGTGGACTATCTGCACCCCTGCTCCTGGGAAGGCTCTGGGCCATCGAGCGTGCCGCCTCCCCGGGATGCAGCTCCTCGTTCTGCCCTCTGGGAGCTTCTTTCTCTAGCAGGATCTAGACCTGAAGGGGACTTGGCACCCTTGCAACTGGAAACCAGAATCAGATATGAAGACAGGGTCCCAGTTCCCCATGAAGTTCGTGAATAGGTTGGCTTTGGGCACCAGATACTCCAGTAGAGCCACCTCATTATATTTGTTTTATTCAGAGCTACTAAGAGATAGTTGCCTGTTTTACCCCTTGCTGACACAAACAAGTTGGAAATGTCACATGAAATGACAACTCTCGGTCATACACACCAACTCTCCTCCCTCCAGAGCCACAGCAGGCATAACTAATCAATCACCAGCCTCACATGAGGCCTCAGAATCTTGCTTAGCCCCTTCCTCAGGCAGCCGTTATTCACTGTCTAGCTTCAGCAAGCCAGTGGAAATCTCAGCCCAAACTCTGGGGGCTGGGCCCCTCACATGATTTTTCCTGGCCCTTTTTTTGCAGACTTTGTGAAGACAGAGCGGGATGAGTCCATTGGGCCCAAGTCCCTGAAGAGCCTCACCAGCCACGACCCCATGAAGCAGTGGGAGCCTGTCAACAGGTAGAGCTGGGGTGGGCAGCTTCACTACAAACAAGCGTGGCTTTGCAGACCCAGGACCCAGGAGAGGGGACATGGAGCAGAGAGAACGCAAGGCCTGAGGGGAAAAGAAAGCTCCAGGCTGGAGAGGCGCTGTTCCGGCTCTGAAGCTTCTGACCACAAACCCCGGGCTCTGGGGAGGCTGGTTTGTGATTGTGACAAGGCCGGGGAGACTCTTCTCTGTTGCAGAGTTCAGTTCAGTTCAACAGACAATGGCTGAACACCTATTATGTGTCAGCTTCTAGAGAAACCAAGGCTCATTAGGTGCAGTCTCTGCCTTAGGAACTCATAGCCTACTAGAAAGATGCCCAGTCCAGGAGGAAGCGACTGCAGAGATGATAGCATGGCACAGTCGTCCTATTTCCTGTGGACCAGGGACATTAACAGTCACGGCTCCATGGCCAAAAGCCCCGTCCTGTTACTAAGGGGTAAAATCATTGGAGGAAAAGGCACACGGGTTGCTCCTGGCAGAGCCTGGGCTGGGAAGAATCTGGACATCAAGAGTCTGCATCACTAGGGGACAGCGTCACCTCAGCTCATTAATGCAGTCTTAAGTTCCAGAATCAAGCCAGCAAGGGTTGTCATGGTCTCCAGACCAGCTCACCTGCCAAGGGGACAAAGCAGTGTCAGGCAGCCAAGCAAAATTCTAGAAGCTGCGGCAGAGCCCAGCTTACTCCCTGCCTCCTTTCAGCCCCCACTACGTGTCCTTCCCCCCCACCTCCCCCCACGTGCACAGCAACTCCCACCTCCAGCCCTTCCCCAGTCCACTTCCAACTTCTGATGGTTGTAGCCGTGGGCATTAAAGTATCCCTTTCAGTCTTTTTCTCCTACTACCATCCCCTCAACAAAGGCATCCCAGCTCTCAAATGTCTGCTTGACTCCAGCATCAGGACCAGTGTAGGTCAACCAGTTATTTCCCATTTGACTAGTATTAGAATTTACACTTACTTCTTAAGGAGGTATGAACTGATGGGAGTGCGGTATGCTCAAAACCAGGCTGGCTGAGCAGATGGGAGCTGGGGAGCATTTGTTACAACCTGTATACTCAGTCTGCTCTCCCGAGAGCACTGTCTCACAAGGAAGAATGGCACTTCTGTCACCGAGAGGCAGCACAGTGGTGTCTCAGGGTTACCTCACTAGGTCTGGCCATCCCTTTGACTGCTTTAGGCTGACTCCCCCACAGTAGAGGCTCCAACCTTGACTTCTGTGACCTCCACACTCATCTTTCCCAAGGCCTGCATGGCTGTGTTCATTCTGATGCTTCACAAACATGCAAGCCAACTGGCTCCATCTGCCGGCCCCACCATCTGCCCCAACGATTGCTTGTCCACAGCGGCCCCCTCATTCCATTCTCACCACTTGCTCACAGGCCTTCAGACTGTTCCTGGAACGGGTCATCCCCCTTGTACCACAGGGCCTTTGCACTTACTCTTATCACTATCTCCTCTCCCTCCCTTCAGACAGGCCCTGTCTGGCCGCCCTGTGCCCAAGTGGTCCCAACCATGTGCTAGTCTGTCTCTGCCCCTTTAATTACTCTCAGTCAGACTTCTCAGGGTATAAATATGTCATCTCTGTCACTGAGCTCGTTCTGTTTGTCTCTCCCATCATATGTTGGTTCCACAAGAACAGAGACTGTGGCTGTCTCATTTACAACCAAATTTCCTCCTTTTAGCCCTGGTGTTACAAGGCACTCAGTAACCATTTTGTTGTATGAATGAATGAATGAATGAATGCACTACCCCAGAAGTGAAGGAATTAAGGAGAGCCTGAGGAGCCCTGAGGGACATCAGAGGACACTGTCCTCAGGCTGGTGCTGACCTGGAGGAGCCCTGAGGTATGACTTTGTGTGTCTCCCCCGCAGGGTCCCTCCATGTGGTGGCTCCAGCATCACTGAAATCATCAACCCCAACTACATGGGGGTCGGGCCCTTTGGGCACATGAAGCAGAACCTGTCCCCTGACCAGCAGCCCACTGCCTGGAGCTATGAACAGCCACTCAAGGACTCCTCCCTGGGGCCTGGAAGGGGAGAGAGCCCTCCGACCCCACCCTCCCAGCCGCCCATATCACCAAAGAAGTTTTCATCATCCACAGCAACCCGAGGCCCCTGCCCCAGGACACAGGAGTCAAGGTGAGTCCTCTTCACCAAGACCTCTCCCTTCCCTGGGTTTTCACCACCAGGAATCCTGGCCTTAGAAGAGAAGCCGTGTGAGGGCAGGGATGTGTGTCTACTTGGGTCACTGACTCATCCTCGGGGCCTGGAACACAGTAGGCACTTGAGAAATGCTTGTGGAATCTCCAATTCCTACCCTTGAAAGGTTTTATAAAAATAGGATAAAACATTTTAAACATACTGCCAAAGAAAAACACACTCCTGTAAAACGACATTCATTGAAAAACACATTTCTATAAGCAGTAAACCTCATCCATCGCCCACTCCCTGGAGGGCCCAGGGGACCTGAGGTGGGAATTTCCACGTAGGAGTCCCTCCCCAGCTCCGAGTTCCCCTCTCTCTCTCAACCACGAGGGTTGCTGTTCCCATGTGCATCTTTCTGGTCTCTTCTGTTAAGACCGATTAGAAAAAGCGGGGACTGGGAATTCCAAAGGGGAGGAGAGCAGCCAGCCTGCAGGGAGGGAGGGGATCTGGCTGTGAAACTTCAGGGAAAACCCAGCCGTTAGAGAAAGCTGACCCGCGTCTAGAATTGGTCCAGGCTGTACGTGCTCAGAGGATGGAAGCTGGGGAGTAGCCTGGCCTGGGCAGCCACTTCTGATCAGTGGTGCCTTAACCAAGCAGCCCCATGCCTGAGTGTCTCGTGGAAACGCAGGATCATTGGGAGCCTTTTGTGCTCCTAGTAACCTAGAACAGACAGAAATTAAAGGTACAGATCTTAATTAACAATGATTGAAGATGTGCAAAGTACCATTAGCATTTTCTTCCTTTGGGGGCTGCCCGTACTGTTTATAAGGACTTCAGAGCATCGCTCAGGGCCTGTCTTCCCCTCTCTGATCCTCTGATCCTCACGGCATTTTCTGTGTGCGTGAAGAGCCAGGGAAGGGCATGTTGTCAAACACCGCTCCCCTCACCTCCCGCCACTTCCAACCCTCCCGAGGCTGGCCTGGCTGGGGCTTCCTCTGGATTGAAAGGCAGTTTACAATTTTCTGTCTTAAGTTTTTTCTCTTAAAAAAAAATTGGACAGATGAAGGGGTGGGGAGGAGGATGGGACAGCACAAGACCTGCCCTCGAGCTCAGCCATCTCTGTACCTCCAGTTTTCAGAACTTGTTAATGTTGTGGACTCTGGTCTTTCCGTAAGAAATATCAGGGAGGGAGAAACAGCCTCAGTTTTCTCCCCTGGATAAATGAGGACAAAAGCCACCGTACAGTGGGTGCTGAGGCACCTTTTTGGCAAAGGTCTTCTCTTTGGCGACCCCGGGAAAAGGAGCTGTAACAACTACAAAGAAGGGGACCGTTTGAGTGAAATGTTTTAAGTTCCCAAAGTAAATGTCCCTTTGTGCCTAATAACTTGGAACACAGCACACAGCTTGGAACCGGGTGGGGAGCTGTTCCCTCCAGTTTCATGGGTCACAGCTTTAGAATGGGGACAGCTCCCAGGCGTGGGTGCTGCCAGCTTCTTGCCTCTAATCACCTCCTTTCTGAGGTGTGAGCTTAGAACCCACGCTGCAGCCCTCTTTGCTGCTCCCGACCCCCCACTCGGCCTGAATGAAGACTGTGGAAAAGTGGGTGTCACCAGTCCGCCCTGCAACCAAGTAGGGTGACCAGACGTCCTGGTTTGCCCAAGACTGTCCTCTTTTTTGCAGTAAGAATCCCACGTCCCAGGCACTGCTTGAATCCTTGGCAAACCAGGGCGACTGGTCCCCCTGAACTGAAGTCGTGTGGTTAGAAAGGGGTCCTTGCTCAGACCCTACTCAGTGCTTCACTTTTTTAGGAAAGAGCAGACTCTGGAGTCTGAGGAGTGCATTTGGCCACAGGAATAGACTCTGTGCCCTGGGCGTGGGTCCCCGTACTCCACCCCCGTGGCTGCTGTGAGAGCGGGTTTTCCCGTCTCCCTCACCCCCACCAAGCCTTCCCCACTCTGAGAGGGACAGCAGCCCCCTCCTCGAGGGAAGACTTGACTTGCCCCATCTCCCTGCTCCTTCCCCAGGGGTGCGAGCTTTGCAGTCACCAGAAGGCTTGCATCCAGGATCCTCTTCCTGGCCCTGCCCTGCACTCTCTGAGGCGAGCCCCTCCTCGCTCAGTCTTTGAGGGTGGGCTTCAGGGGAAGGCGATGCGTTTTTCTCTTCTCCTTCTTGCCTCTTCATCAGAACTTCTGGGCAATGCCGCTTTCACACTCCTGCCCCTGCCTCCCTGGGCCAACATATGGCAAAGGTCTTTGAGGACTGAGGGGCAGTGTAGAGGATGGCCTGTGGCGGACAGATACCTTCCAAAGTCTTTGTTTAAGGCCCTGACGTTTCTGGTTATGCAGTTGCTTCCAGATCTTTCCAAAGAGTAATGAGCAAAAAACCAAGTCTACAGTCTGGGGCCCCCTTTGGCATGTCCCTGAGGCTAGCCTCCTCGACACCTCACATCATCTCAGCTCATTGGCACCTGTGTAAGGATGACATCTTGCCTTTGTCCCCTGCCCACGCCTCCTCCCCCAAAGAGTCCATTAGCCTTGGCTGTCCGGCACTTTTGAGCAGCATTTCAGCACATACTCCATCAGGAAGAGGCATCAGGGCCTCAACAGTTCAGTGTGTTTTCCAAGGGGCCCACATTTTCTTCACAACAGCTTCCTTATTTTGCAGGAAAACAGAACCCAAAACACTCCCTGGGAGAGTGTGCCGTTGGCCAGAAAGTAAAATGTGTTCCCATTCTTGGTTCTCATAATTTGCTCAGCAGGAAATCACCTCCAGTAAGAGCAGTAATAAATCAGGAAACAGACAAAGGAAGCTCTCACCTACTTTGGGTACAGCATGGAGCTCCTTCTCCATCCATGAGTCAAACAGGCCTATTTTCTTGCTAATGGCTTGTTTCCCCAATGCATCTCTCCAGGTTGCTTCTGATTTTCAACATGAACGCCACTTTTCCCTTCTTACTCTGAGTGAGGACACGAAGGAGACCACACTTTCCAGGGAGAGGAGTTTATGCAGAGGAAAGAATACTGTGTTAATAGGGAACATCACCCCCTGAGCATAGATTTTGTCTGGTTCATGGTGACCTCCTGTGCCTGGGGCAGTGTCTCATGCTCGGGGCTGGGGGCTGGGGGCCGGGAGGGGGGGGCTCCTACACATCTGTTAAATGGAGCTCCTTGACCTGGGACCCTCAAGCAGCACAAGTGGTCACTGAGCAGGTGGTCTGGTTGCCTGCAAAGCTTGTGTTCCCCTGAGGGTCAGAGTAGAATTTGCTAGAGACACTGAGAGGCTGCAGGATTCTTGGGGGAAGCCAGGAAGGGAGGTCTTTTAGCAGCAGTGATTGTGGTGGGGGACCAGCTATGGAGGGCAGGTGTCTCTCATGAGGATGGAGCAGGTGGGGTTTTTTTGGTATAGAGGGTGCCAAGTAAGCCCCCACATCCCTTCAGTAAAACCCCCCCTTGCTCACTGATGCTCCGATGTGGAGTTTCTCTGGTGGAAAACATCCAAGGCAAGAGCTGAGCTTACCTGTGAGATCATCAGTATCTGAGTAACACAGTACATACTCCTATCATTTTTAAAAAGGGTTTTTTTTAATCAAGGTGAAATTCACATAACATAAAATTAAGCATAGCATTTATTGCAGTATAGTCAGTTTACAGTGTTGTCAATTTCTGGTATACAGCACAGTGTTTAGTTATATATATATTCCTTTCCATATTCTGTTTCATTATAGGCTATTATAAGGTATTGAATAGAGTTCCCTGTGCTATATAGTGGGACCTTGTTATCTATTTTATGTATAGTAGCATCTGCAAATCCCAAACTCCTAATTTACCCCTCCACACCCCGCCTTTTCCCCCTGGTAACCATTAAGTTTGTTTTATATATCTGTGAAGCATAGCATTTTAAAGTGAACAACTCGGTAGCATTTAGTATATTCACAATGTTGTGCAACTACCACCAGCATCTAATTCCAAACCTCCTTACTGCCCCCAAAGAAAACCCTACACGCATTAAGCAGTCATTCCCCACGGTGTTTCTTGCCTGTGTGTCCTCTTTCCCACCTCCAGGCCCGGCGACGTGGGGAAGAGCGCAGGGGAACCTTTGCTTCCCGAGGACCCGCAGCTGACCAAGCCCGAGATGTTTGAGAACCCGCTGTATGGGTCTGTGAGTTCTTTCCCCAAGCTGGTTCCCCGGAAAGAGCAGGAATCCCCCAAAATGCTGAGGAAGGAGCCCCCGCCCTGCCCGGACCCGGGAATCCTGTCGCCCAGC